GTATATATGTAAACATTTTAATTAACTTTTCCAGATGTTTCATAAAAACAATCACAAGGAAGTGGAAGTTTTAATGATTAAAAATTTGAACTTTCTTTAGTGATCATTGTAATTTGAAATCTGTGCTTTAATAGTTCAACATACTGGAACAGTTTGCTGTCAACCTTTACCATTGATTTGAAAGAAGTGATGATTATCTTAAAAAAGAATGAATAATAGTTAACAGGGTAAATTTACGGATAATATTTGGACAATTTTCAAATTTACCCACTTCACCATTTGAAAATAAAAGATCTGTAAGGGAAGCTTGCTAAGTTACAAGGCTGAAATTGTTTTCGCTTCTTTCCGGATCATTTGCCGGAAACTTTTAAGACCAGACTTTGTTATCTCATTTTCAGCAATTTTCCATTCTAAAAACCGTTCAAAGAATGACACTGCATACTTGCTATATCAAGCCTTTGATTTTCAGGCTAATTAAAGCCCTTAATCACGTTAGTTGTAAATCAGATCTTTGATCATAGGAGGATTATCGACGATTTTTTTTGCCAACAACTTCGGTAGAATTAGCCTAACTAAAAAAAAAAATAACCAATCGTTTTATTCGATATAAATTGAATCTTTGTATAGATTTAAGTAAAATTAAACTGCTAAATTTAGTATAACAAATTATTCATCCACCTGAAATTTGAAACCATTTTTTCATTCATATTTAAGAAAATATTGAATTAGTGAATTTATTTTTTCCTCTACATTTGAACAATATTTTTGTGAAAGATTAAACTTTGACAGAACAAATATTTTACAAAGAATGTCATCAAGACAAGCACTTGAAGATCGAAAATTGAAGTGCTGTAACATCGATGGATTGTGTCTGTGTCTGTGTGTGTGTCTGTCTGTGTGTGTGTGTGTGTGTGTTTTCTGAAATTCGACGAGAGGAGCATTTGGGCAATGAATGATTGATAGCTTTTCCCATCCCAACAATTCCGTTATTTTACAAATAGGACGACATATGGTTGGAATAAGAAGATAAGATCGTAGTTAGAAACCTTATGGAATTCTGATAGGAACCGGAAGGTTAAACACAATTTACCGCATCTTTTATTAAGAAGTATTACATTATTGTTATCCGATTATCGAATTCTAAAATTACTTATAACAATGATTAAATCCTATTTTGTAGGTAAAATTGAGATGAGGAGAAGGACACATAAACTGTCACAAAGAGATGTTAGTATGCATACGTGAAGCCATATATCTCCATGATAACCCCGATGGAACTTACTAAACTTCCTCCTCTAATCCTGTATATATATATATATGGAATGAATACCACACAAATCAATCGAACAGGAATACAACATCCTTTCCGTTATCAATCAAATATTTCTTCGTTCTACTAAATGAATACCTTCCGGAGAGTATATCCCGTAGACGAAACTCTTATATGTCAATCATTACGGAATCTATCAACAAATTGACAATCAACTATTATCAAAGGTAACAACAAAGGATTAATTAATTAATAATGTTGCTTGTTTATTGTACAATTCATTTATCACTACTTATCAATTTATCGTATGCTTTACATACTTCTCTTTCCTGTTTTTGTTATTACATTCGGAATAAACCTATATCGTTGATAAATGAAGTCAATAGATTAGCTTTCCCGATATTTGTCGCATACCAACAGTGGGAAATCAGATTCTTCTTTTTGTGGTAAGTTGAAGTAACGAAAATGTCACATGTTTGAGGGAATGACTGCAATTCCGGAAAGCAAGTTTTTGCAGTGAGTAAACATATTTTTATCTTTTAAATTGCTTGTGATTGTTGATGAAGTTATCTCTCACATATGAGATGCATGCCATTTTTATAAATTTGACAGAAGGAATGAGAATGAAGACTGAATGATTAATTCTTTTAGTTTTGATTTCATCAACAAAACAGTGGAAAATTTGAATGTGAATGAAAAGTTTTGAGATTTTCCCAAATTACGACTTCTAAGCTTCATTGCTATTTTAGAAATGAGTGAATTTAAAATAAAAATAGCCTTAATTGTCCATCAATGAAAATATCAATGTGTTTGATCGATCGATCGATCGATCAGTTAATCAATCTTGATTTGGTGATGAAAATTTAGTGATAGCAAAATTTTATTTTTTATTAAATTTTTAAAAACAGCTTAAATATACAGTCAAACATTGTCAAATTTGTTAAACAAAAATACAAAAGATTTTTTAATTTTAATAGAAAATGAGCTAAAAATATTCCATTTTATATGCCTTCTGAAATATGAAATTGCTAATATTATCAGAGTGAAAAATTCATTTCAATACATGACAAATGTACCTGACAGAGAAGAAAAGTATTCTTTCCGTTTTTATTTCAAACAAGAAAGAAGCTGTTCGAAAACATGGTAGAAGTTGGTCAAACTTTCTTCTAATTTGGAAAGTTGAATTTTAATGTGGTTTCAGGATTTCAGGAATCGCTCTTCCTGATCATCTTACTCGGTTGAGGTTTATTTACATGAAATTTCTCAATTCAATTAGCAATTTTTACCTGGTCCTAAATGTGATAGATAAATAGTAGAAATATAGGAAAATTTGAATCTGAGGATGTATAAAATGATAAACAAAATAAGCGTTTTGATATAAGGAGTGCTACTGAATGGAAACTTATGGAAATTTCCGAATTCAGGGAAAAAAAAATGCTAAGAATAGGATGTACAAAAAATAAAAACTTATAATTTCGCGAATAGAAATGGAAAAAAATTAGACTAATTCGGTAATTTGGACTGATATTGAAATAAAGAGCTTAATCCAATGAGTTAGCTTAATGACTATATATGCACAAACTGATAAGCATTCCTAGAAAAGTTCAAAGATGTTGAGGTTTACAGGTAGTGTTTGCAGGTAGTGAGCTAAAATATCATTCAATTTTCACTGGGGTCATCAAGGTCAAATCAACAGTTTACAATGTAAATTTCCCGAATGAAATGCGCGGAAAAACAGATGAAAATGCGCAGAAAAACAGGTAGATATCTATAACTTACCTTGTGTTCACATGCACCTTAATTTTTGTAGTGGAATTTTTTTCGATGACTTTCTGCTTGGGTTAAAAGCACTCCTTCATTATATTGAAATGCTTATTTTTGTCATTCTTCCTCATCAAAGGGTAGTAGACATTTTGGGGACAAAGATTTTTTTTGGAGACATATTTCCTGTCTAATAATAATATTGTCTCAAAATTTCGTCACAGAAAGATGTATACATGGAAATAGAAGAGAACAGATATGAATAAAAGAAAATCCTTTTGACAATTTCAGAGTTTTTAAATGAGTGAAGCAAATGCTATAAGAATACATCGGCGTCTTTTTTGATTTTTATGAAAAAGGAGTCGTAAAATGGGAAATACCTGTAATTGATAAAATAACTCTGAAATTTTTTTTACAGTTAATGACACGGAGACAGTTTTTCTCTTCCTATATACGTGCAAAACTGCAAACGTGATTACTGTAAGACGGAAATATAAGAGTATAACCATTTGATAGTACCACGAATTAAAAAAGTCAAAATGCTGCTCAGAAGCAGTATGGATGCAAAAGTAGTTTGAAGTCATTTTCGATGATGGGATGGCTGCCACACTTGTATTACTCCCTGATTTAATTATATCCGCGAAATTGCTGTTTTCTTATATATGCTAAGGTCTTTAAGCCCACTTGCTTTTGCTTAAAGATCCTAGGCTTCAAATTGATAGACCAGGTTCGTTGCGCTAGCCTTTCTTCGACATCATACCGCACAGAACACGCCTCTTACTCTAGCACACTTTCTCCAATTTCGAGAAAAAGATCATCGACGGAACCTCTTGAGACATTTTCTTAAAACTTATCGTATTCTTCTGGGCGTAAAGCTCAACAGACGAATATAAAATGAGCGAAATATAATAATGCAACATCAAAAGAAATACTTTGTTTCAACGAAAATTTTGAAACAAAAAAAATTAAATTCTTTTTTGCTGAATTAGTTTGAAGATTATCATATCAAAGAAGTGATGGTATTTGGAAACTAAAAATTTATCCCTATGCTATGAATAAACGTGAAGATATTTCGTGTGAGAAAAAAAAAATTAAAGAATCATATGTGAATCAAAGTAAAGAATCATAAGTGTATAGTGATATACTAATTTGCATAGAACTGTATATATGCTAATTTTTGAATCACATCAACGAAGGATATATTCAAACATCAGAATAATAACACTCTTTTTTTCTGTTGTTCTTGAGATTGCTATCTTTCATTTTATTTTATGTTCTGAAATTTAGCTTCACGAATGGAAATGAAGAATTCGCAATTCTATATCACATTGCACAAGATACCTTCAAGAATACAAAAATTTATTACTTTACTCTGCATGTTATTAGAATCATTTCGATATAAAATCCCAAACCGAACATAGATGAATCGATCCAGCAATCGATGATAATTCTTTTTTTTGCTAGATATAGATCTACCCTTATCCAGCAAAAGACATAACCGCTAACTTCTTTGCATAGATGTTTTAAGTAAAATAAAGCTCAGCTTTCTTCATTAGCTGTTTTTCACGAATTTCAAGTGCTGACTGCATGTAAAGTCGAACTAAGCAAGTATTTATTGAGTAATGCGGAAAATAAAAAAAGAAGCAACACATTACATTTTTACGATAACTCAGCACCATGTGAAAAAAGCTTGTAATTTTGAAGTCAACAATCAGTACAGTTATTATCACTTTATCAATCAGTCAGTGATATACTAAGCGTATAACATGAAGGCGAGTCGAATGATACAATAAACGCTTGATAAATACAAGAAAGACATAAATAGAACCGTAAGTTATTGAGGAACTAATGAAAGTAATGATTAAAACTATTAAAGTATTTTAAACATGTAATGAGTTTTTTTACTCCCAAATTTTAATATTTCACCGGATGATAAAGATGATGCTAGAGGAGGAGGAGGAGGAGGAGGAGGAGAAGCAGCAGCAGGTGGTGGTGATACTAAGCTTTTTTCGGATGGAAGAGCAGACGTACAGGAACTACTGGGTTTCGATGAATTAGTTCCAGTAATTCGTTCCTGCAAAAAATTTAGTCTTCACCTGTCATATTTAAGGAGTTAACCATAAAAACGGTGATTTTATACAGCCATTAAGATTGCAATTTTTGAGAGTAGCTTATTACCCAAACGTTCAGCACAGACTTATACTATGCATTTTGACGAAATGTCAACAAATGGCAACTAGCGATGCCAATCACTTTTCTAAGGATGATGTGATTCTGGATGCCAAGTCTAATTGCACATTTCAAAGTGATGTATTTACATTTTCGATTTTCTGAAGGTTTCATCTTATACATTTAGCTACAGATAAGCCACTAGGCAGAAGTACCACTAAAATAGAAATGAAACTCATGCAGTCATAAAAAATCATCCCAGGATCAAATTTTGAATCTAAATCAGAAAACTCTTAACATACACTGGAGGTAGATCCATCAAACGCTGACGAGAAACATCTCCTCAAATTGAATCTTTCAAACAATGCTGTATTAACACCAACATTAAGTACTGGTTCGCAAGCTGAATAACCACATTTTGCATAAAATGCTTGCTTATTTTCACTGGATAAATAAGCCTGGAAGAAATTTAAGCATTAGGATGACTTTATGCAAACTTCCTGATAACGGTACTATTTTTTGTACAATTACTTTTTACAATTCTTGAGAGTTGAAAACGACCGCAAAAGCGGTTTACCTTCCTGAAACCGAACTTTCTCGCTTCATTTTCCAGCTGTGCCATTAGCCAACGACCCAAACCTTTACCTCTTAAATCATTATTAATGATAACGGATTCGATCCAACAACTTTGCGATTCACCCAGAAGTGGACATAATCTTCCATGACCCACCAACTTATCCGTTTTTTTGTCGACCATAACAAATGACATAGGAGGCGTTGAATTAAGTGACTTACGTTGCGTGTTTTCACGTGCACCCACGCTTCGTGGCCATTCCTGAAGTCACGTTTCGAGTTAAAATTTGATAATAACGAAGTGCAGTGAAGAAATTCGGATAACATTTAAAACAAGTTAACCTGGTTGAGTAATTCGATACATTCGGAGCACAGATTTTTTCTCTCCATCAGTGGCACAAAGATATACTGTTCACTGAACATTTATATTCGCAACAAAGCTTAAATTGCTTGCTTAGACTGGGGTTAAAGTTCAACGGCTTGAAACCGACAACTGGACATAGCATGGAAAACCGGAAAAAATTAGGACGGAACAGGAATGCACTTGCCCAAACCTGTCCATCATAGAATTCGTAACATTGATTAACCGCAAAGTGCCAGTCGTCCCGTTTAAGATTCCATCCAAACATTGATGCCTGGGCTGTCATTCTGCTCATTGCTAATGTTGATGTCCTTAGGCCCTGGTTCTTTAATTGCAGTACTATTGCCAAAAATTGGGTAAGATGACGATATCTTCATGCTGTTTGTTACCATTCAAACGATGTTTGTAAAAAAATTAGATAATTTCACAAGTCTGTACGAAATCGTTTGCACTCCATTAGCAATATCGATTTCAGTTCGATCAAGGAACTTGTTTGTAGTCTATACTGATGAAAGTTTCATTTTATAGTTCAATGTGTATGATAAACATTCCAGAGATTTGCTGAGAAAAGTTTTAGTTTCTTACGTTGCTAAGCGTAACTATATTGGACTAAGTAATGTTATGACTTTCGTGTGTTTTTCTTTTAAAACTTACCAGTCAGAGATTTTCAAGCGTGACGAAAACTTGTTGGTAATCCTCCAAGTGTCCGATATTCAATGTCATCAAACATGCTCGCAAATAACTATTTGAAATGATTGAAATCGTTGGTAGTAGAGGAAGTAGATATATTCATTTGCACTTGAACGACCATAGGTATTCGGCAAAGAATTAAGTGGAACTTAATATAAATAAGAAATCTTCGGGATAGTTGATGTATGCTTCGTTGGAAAGGAAGAAAAAAGAACGTTTGCAAAGACATTTCTTTTTTCTTTTTTTTTGCAACGTTTGCAAGATATTAAATTTTGTCTTATGCAATAATTATAAAATTTTGATTGCAAGTAGTAGTATGGAGAATTTCTTGATATTGATATTCTCATCATTTTATTACAAAACTCATATTAATTTAGAGTTTAGTGCTCTTTTTCATTGCTCAGATTCTGTAATTTAGAGAATTTCTATCGATTATAGCGTTATATATCTTATGACGAAGTTCTTTTGGTATTTGAGGATGGCTCGGTGTTGCTTGTATTTATGGATTTTAAGGTGTCATGTCCACAAGATGATATTAAAAAATGGATGAGAGATCTTCAGCATCGAGTTCAGTGTCAAAACTCTCTGCTGACGAGAATAACATTGAAGTTGTACTTAATCCGTCTTCTCCCAACGATGCTGCTTTACAGGTTTATATTGGCAAAGATTTCATTTAAAGGTAGTCAAAATGAACATTTGCAACAAAACTTTGTCGCACTTTTTCAGAACTACTTGAAACGATTGTCTTAGTTCTTTTCTCTAGAAATTTCAGTAATTCACAAAAGTTTTCAGAATATTTCATCAAAAGGAACCTCAGATAGCAGGTTATTATGTCTTATGCAAGGAGGAAAGAAGGGATCACTTGAACCTTGTTCTGATCAAGAAAAAGAAATGAAATTACTTCAACTTTCGAGTCAGCTACCATGTTGCAGTACAACGGGTATCTTCATTCGCTTACAGTTTTACTGGTTTTTTAATAATTTATAATCAAACAAATTTGTGAATAAGAGACATGCGAGCGTGTGCTTTAGTTTGAGAATTTTCCATTGCTTAATATAAAATTTCCTCCTTATTCTATGCCTTATCCAGCTTTTGAAGGATTTGTAAAAAATGGATTACGACAAGCGACCAAAAGATGTCAATCATTTCATCAAATGTTTTCACAAGCATTTGAAAAAAACATTTTATTTTTTTCAGTGTTATATCATTATTAGGACAAAACAGAATTTGAATAATGATCATTTTCAAAATTCGCTTACTTATTGTATTTACTGAATATTTACGTTTTCTTAACTTCTTATTGCATTGCCTCTTAATCATTTATTCAGTCGGTTTGTTGCATTGGTCTTATCCTTGTGTGTTTCAGAAATTGCCACAGATTTTACTGATAAAATCGTTTTCGACCCAAATGGTTTGTTCATTCCATGGGAACTATATTGTTATATGGGATTTGATTTATTACGACCGCTTGCAAAGTTGCAAACACTGCAAAATATGAATCTGTATCATGCAATACGTATGTTTTACAGTTTTAAAAGTTTTGCTTCCAATTACCTTAAATTTAATGATTTCGGCTTTTTTCTTCCAGGAAATGAATTACGACGACGAGGTAAAAATGGTGGTCTCGAAATGTTGGACATTGCTCGTGAAATAGCAGTTCCAGTATGTTTTATTTGAAAACTTTCATATTGAGAACTTATATCTGTTTCAGATCTTATGTTAAAAATGTAATGAATAATCGAAGATTTTAGCGGGACAACTTTAATGAGAAGAAATCTTTCCTTGCGAATATTTCATTTTTATTTTAAAAGTGCTCTTAAATCCAATTTCAGGGTTATTTTCGTGAAATTCGAGCTCTGTGGAACAGTTACAGTGATGCAGTGGAGAATGATTTCGAATTTGCTTTCATACGGATTATATCTTTCTTGCATTGGGCTAATGTTAACATTCATTCACTAACTGATCTTGGACCACTGAATGTTGAGAAGGTATAGATTGTAGTAAACAATCATAAATTTAAGGGATTAATGACAGATTTGAAATGATAAAGAAAGCTGAAATCAAATAATTTTTTTGCAGCTCATGTTGTGTTACAATTGCCGTTGGGGTGAAACATCCACAGCACGGAAACGCTTTGACTCAATCATGCGCCAGATATTGTTCGATATGAAAGACTTATTAGCTTTGCGAAGTTGGTGTGGTGTACTGCGCGAAAAAACAGTCATTGATTTAGCAATGATTCGTGCGGAGTACCTTACGGTTTTGGATCTTGGAACAATGGTAGCAAAGGTGAATAAAGAATGTTTTGCTTGCTATTTTTACCTATTCCGGAAAACTTAATTGAAACCTTTGAACGTCCATGTCTCATCTCACGTGGTTCCTTATTTTAATATTAGCTTTCTTCGAAATCGTTATTGATGGTTTATCCATAATTAAGGAAAAAATTTTTTACTTTACACTACGATGCGCATAAAATGTGCTCCATAGAATTTTAGTTGAAGAGGAGTGATTTTAGTCATGAAACTCTTTGTCCACAAACTTCAGCTAGTGGGATATGTCTTTTTGGGATTTTTTGGAGAAAATGCTTGGAACTCCTGATTTTATGCAAACGTTTGCTATTGTTTTATTTTAGTTGCGTTCGTCAGCTATATTTTTATAGGGACCATTTAAAAAATGGAATTTAAAGGAATTGTTTCCGAAGCTAAGAAATTTGGAAGATTTTACATGGCTCAATTGTGATGTCCGTACCTTAGTTTATCTTGTATCTGTCAACTCTTTAAAACGATTGGTAATTTAATCATTTTCTTTTTCGAAATTTTTGCTTGTGATGAAATTACTCTTTTCTTCGATGACGGTTTACTATTGTAGGTATTACATATAACTAAGTTCGATCAGATATTTTTCGATCAGTTTTTCGCACGATTTGGTTTTGATGTCGGTGCAGATTTGAGGTAAATTTATGGGTTTTCCAACCATCCAGTTTAAATTTAACAACTTGGATAAAAATGTTTTCATTGAAATATGTCTCCATATAAACCAGCTAGATGATTAGACTTTAACGGTCACTGAAATACATTTTTTCTCAACTATCTCTTGTCTCTGATACCTTTTATCAGAATTAACACTGGGCACTGCTTTAGTGATTTCCACCGTAGATTTTCCCGTTTAAAATTCATTCAGATTTTCTTTATTAAGAATCTGTTCATATTCACTTTCATACTCTGTGCTCAAAAAACATAGTCTCAGAACATAGTCCGTTCACTTGGATTTCTCAATGACTTTTTTGAGGAAATCTCATGATGTCAGTTTTAGTCCTATTAGTGACGTTATTTTATTTCATATTAACCTTACCTTAAAAATCTAATACTTATGATTTAAGCAGCTACGGGATGAGATGGCTTGTGTTTTTTTCAATGTTAATTTCAAAAAATCCAGTCTATGCAGGGAGTATATTTTGCAGGGAACCAGAAGATAATGAGACAGGAAGGCAGAAAATCCTTCCTTTGACGCAACAACGTTTTATTCATGATGATCCTAAGTCTTTCTCCAATATTTCTGTCTTACAGTATAGAACTCAGGAAGCGCCGTCATTATCCACTTCCTTAGTACAGTCAGCCTTCACTGATTTAGTTCAGGTGTTGATGATACTTTTCAAATTAAATTGAGTTCCCATTGCCCACTGAATTTGGGTTACCAGCTAGAGGGTATTAGTGGGAAAAGTTGTTTACCATAAAATTTACTGGCGCTTTTGATTTGCAAATTTCTAAAGTGAGTCTATATTCAGGAGAAAGAAACTGGCGATCGGGTTTGGTTCTCCATGAAACCACCAACAAAAAAAGTGCATCTTGATTACGCTGCTCTGTCATTCACTTATGCAATCTTGCAATCCGAAGAATGTTATTCAGGAAACTGGTCTAATAAAGGTATAGGATTTCAAAGAAATTTCCTTTCTGTAATTTCAGTGAATCACTTTTGCATCTGAGATCATAACTTTCTTATGAAATCTATCAAAATCATTTGCCGTGCAGTTGTGTTTACGAAGGGTAAAGGAAGTTTGCGAAAACGAGGAAGGTAGAAAGCAATGTTATTTTCCATTTCTTTCCCACTTTCCTCAGTCGTGAAGATAGTTTTCCCATTTTGAAATACTTTTAAACTGTTAAATCTATAATAGTTTTGCTACGTTATTTCCAGTTTCAGTTCAACTGCCGCGACCTGAAAGATTTCTTGTCCCATTGGTAGTAATCAAAGCCAATACAGTTGTTTTAAATCTTCCGCCTACTTCGGTAATTTTTTATGCTAGTTTTAACATTTTACGTATTCAGAATTTTCTGTATAAAATTACTAACATCTTGTATTTGCCAGTATTGACCTCTCACTAATCGACAAGGAGTAAATAGTCTTATTTTCTGCGTTATTGTTGATTTTAAGGCAATGTAAATTCTCTTGTAAGGAGAGTGTTCTTTATATTGCCGGATTAAATAGAAGTTAAAGAACATGAAGAAAATACTTACTGCCTTGTAGTTCCTTTGATTGTTTGTTTCAGCATCAGCTAAGCTTGCTAAATTTGGGATCACCGAAAAGGAAGTTCAGTATTGGATTTCCAAAAGAAATCTGCGCAAATATAAAACCAAATCGAATATCATACGGAAGTGTTGTGCAAATTCTTGAAAGTGGACCGGGAATGGTTTGTTGTTTTTCTTTAACGATTTCAAACTACCGCATAATGAGGTATGACACAGTTTAAGGTACTGCAAGTTCCTGTATGCTTATAGCGATGACAAGACACGAAACTTACTCTTTAATAATTTTCCGTTTAGGGAAGAAGCCATCATTAAAGAGGATAGTTCGAATCTGAATTGTTTTTGATTTTACTATTTATCTGCAAGAAATAAGGCCAGAAAAGAATGAATGAAAAAATTTTGATTTACGATAATTCTCCAAGTGAATATTTCAAACTATGATGTGATAGTTATGAAGGCTTTCCCTGTCAGGCTGATCACAGGTTCACGCCCGATGCTCATATCTTCAATGAGCTAATTTATAGTGGCAATATATTCTGAACAATTTTTTTTTTGAAAATAGTCAAAATACAAGATGATCAAGTCTCTAGTCCTGAGCTTTTGTAATCAGCTGATAGAGCTTGGATTTTAGTTTTCCATTAGGAAAGGTACTGAATGCCTGCTACAAAATGTTCTTTCTCATTGTTTTTTGACATGTATCTCAAAAAACTTGCTTGAAATTTGCATTTCAGTTTGTGGAGGAAGTCGAAATTCATGTTATGTTCGATTATTACCGCAAGGAACGAGTGATTCACTTGTTTAATCTAGCCATGATGAAATTCTTTCCAAAAATTTTGCGTCTTCATTTTACTGCTGCTGGGAGAAGTATGAAGAAATACTATAAATGGTATTTTTTCTTTACATTTTGGAATTTTGTCGACTAATTTTGAAGTCCATATTTCCTAGAATTTTTGTTGAAGTCTTTGTAAGATCACCTTATAAAAACTCTGTGTTCGACATCTTTGCTGTTTCAACTGTTGTATCAACAATTGATATCAAAATATGACATTAACAGTATAACTGTTTTAACTGAACATGTTTACTATGACATACTAATGTTTTTTTCTTGCGAATTTACAATTTTACAGGCCACGTTTGGTATCAGATAGCACTCTATTCCTGCGTTTTTTGACGGTTTTCGAGCTAACTCTTAACTGTTTGACGTTTCATGTAAGTTCTTATATTTTCTATATTAGAGTTTTAATTTCTATTTATAGTATTAATCTCCTAATAAAAGGAAAGTCATAAGTGCATAGTTTTTCATGCTTATCATACTTTGAAGAGAAGTTCCAGTTATTTCTTCGAGAAATAAAGTTAATCTAAATCTAGCTTTGACTTGCAGATTCCAAACGTGACTTCTTATTCTTCAATGCCAGAGCTTAAAGAAGTTTATGTAACATTATGTGGTCTTCCACACAATGAACATGCGACGATTCGAAGCGTCATGGAATTCTTCCGATTTTTCATGCAACCAAAAGACAATCTCAAGACAGTCATATTTCGAACCAATGCACCGCAAGTTTTCACGTTTTTTTTGTCCGTTGATTTCAGTCGGGAAGTTTTCCGATTCATGTTCATCAAATTTCTGATCAGACATGCGGCATAGTACTATTAGTGGGATCTATTAACAGTTTTATGAACTACGAAATAATTTGAAAAGTCAAGCTTTTTTTTGCTACTTTATATCATCTTCCAGGGTGGAATTCTTTTGATGCGTTCCAACGAACAGAGTTTTTGGCGCAAGAGTTAACGCCTACAAAAATTCGATCCCACTTAAGTCAAAAATCGGTTCTCTCTGATATGTGAAAACAGTGTGCTGAGTGTGTATCCGCTTGTGGCATGAATATTTTAATGTTCCAGATACTTTTTTGCATTTTTCGAAACGTTATCATTGGAGACAGCCGGGGTCGCCATGAATTGCATACCTATTCGACTGGAAACTTTGGGAATCGTGTGCTGCGGTGAGTTTAAAAAATTTTAAATTGCTGTTCTTGAACTGCAGCTCATTAAATATTACGTAAAGTTCTAAAAATTCTTAAATTGCATGGAGTATGGGACGAGGTTTTTTTCTTTTCAGTCTCCACAACTGGTAGAGGATTTGACTGAATGATTGTCATCTTAAGATGAAAGATGGTTCTTGTTGCTTTTTCAGTTCCTGAAACGAAGACGCAAAATCTGTCGAGTTGCATATGTAATGCAATTGAAAGTATCCGTCATAATTTACGAAAACAACTGAAGAAGCTAATTTTGGATGGTCGAGTTTGGGGTGCACTTTCTGCCGAACATTTTGCATATGTTCAGAATCTTTTACCAGATTGTACGTTGGAAGCAGAGCTCGCGCCAGATGACTGTAAAGATCTTAAGGTTGGTTCAAAGTTTTTTTTAAGTGCCAGTGGACAAATTATTTATCTTTTATCTTAATTCATCAATTATTATTATACTTCTGTCACTGCTTGATCTACTATAGTTCTCTTTTTCTTTCCATATATCAATTTATAGTTTTCGCTGTTTGTATCCAATACATTCAGTAAACACAAGTGCTTTTCCTAATCTTCGTCCATGTACACACATGTCTACTTCATAATTTATACTTCTAAATCTTACATCCTAACTGAATATGTTTACTATAACATACTAATGCTTTTTTTATGCAATTTACAGTCTTACAGGCCATGCTATATGATATCCAGATAGGGAATTAGGCCTATCAAAAAAAAGTTAACTTACTTTTCAAGACCCAGAAATAGGATAAATTGAACCAAACGAATAAATGGCTTCTATGTTTGCCTTCGAATAAGCTCTTAATTGCATTCCGGTTTCATCTTTTCAACTGGGATTTTTCATTGTTAAGAACAAAAGAAAATTCTAGCACCATAAATTCCTTGAGATTTCACGCCTCTTAAAGCTGCGCAGTTGTAAGCCAAATATGACCGAACATAATTGGTTAGTGAACTGAAGTAAATCTGTTGTGGAAGATTTATGATATAAGTCGTATTTCAAGAAAAAAATAAAATTTTTCTTTTTTGAAAATCTTTGTTGCCAAGTAGCCAGACGCTCAACTTGCTGATGAATTACGCGAAATAGTTCGGGAATAGGTATGACAAACTTCGTTTAAGATTTCATACAGCGATTTGCTATATACGCTTCTATCATTAAATGGCTGCACGCCGCACTGAATGATGATCAGTCTTGAATATTGTCAAAATATTTTGAGGCTAAATTGGCTGCAGTTCATTTCTATGATTTCGCAGTGATTTAGCTTAGATGAGAAAATTATTGATGAGCTTTGAATTTCTAACTTTATTGACAACAGCAGGCTTTAATTTTATTGGTAATATGAAGAATCCACCAAAAAGTACTTTGTATTAATATGTATTTGAACATAACGTAAGTAATATGCTAATCAATTTCATCTACATTCTACTTTGGTAAACGAACATCGAACATTGCTTACTGTTTATCTGTGTTTGTGTTACTTCGAGAGTCTTATTTTCTAATGTAATTTTAGTATGGTCGTATTTATGGAAGTGATGGTGTCAGAAATAAGAATACTGATAATATTTGCAACGCAGACAGTAGTGAATCGGAAGGTAGCGAATCTCGTGAGTTGTTTCAATGTAATGAATATAGGGAAACTACGTGGTTTCAGTTTTGCAGCATAAATTTGTTCATTTCATTTTTTTTCTTTTATTCTGAATATTTTGTTGAAATATTTCAGCAGCATTGGACGATGGCGACGAATGTTTAATGAGATCTGATTATTCTGATACCACGGAAGAAAAAAGTGAAAATCGAACATTTGCAGAAATTTTCGCCTCGAAAGTTAAAAAAGAAGGTCTGATCTTCCGTGAATATAATGATAAGTGGTGTAATTATGTGGAATAGTAAGAAAAATGAAACTGTTACGAATAGCCGTGCATTTGTATGTAATGTTCCTCTGACATTTTTAGGTGGTTTGGGGCTTTTGGATGTAGAGAAAGGAGAAATTGTGAACTAAAAGACGGGGAATGATTTTGATTTCTAATGACGGTTCAAACTGCTCTTTTCAAAAGTGTTTTACATAGTTTGATATATTAACATAAATAAGAAGTGTATAGCTTCAATTATTAGTGATATTTTAAACAGGAGAACCATTTTTGAAGTTTATATATGACAAGATAACAAATTTGGGGCGCACCTAGGAATGCTACTACTATTTTCTACTATTTAGATAAACAAGTATTAGGGCACCGCCACCAAAAATTTCTTTCATACAGTAGAAGCGTTTCCATCTTTTTCGCACTAATAATGAATTGGGAATTAAGTGGTTTAATAACTATTGAAAATAGATCCCATATGAGTGACTTATGAATTTCCTTCTGATGGTAATACATCTTTTTTTAGAACAGTTTAATACTTTGATGAAATTAGTTTAGACATATCTCGTAGGCGAAACAAATTTACTAGTCGATCTCGGTCCAGCAGCAGAGAGAAAATTAACGACAATACTGTGGAACATTCGTCGCGAAGAAAAGGTTTCAGTTATTCATCTCTTACTTTTCATGCGTTTGCTCACTCGAATTTCTCTTCCATCACATATAAGTGGAAAAGTTTCGTTTATTGAGACAAATCGGAGGACAAAATTATCCTTGACTATCTATAAGTCGGACTTTTTGCCAGTCAATTTCGGCTGTGTTTTGTGTTATTATCGTTCATTTGCTTCCTACAGGTCGTTAATGTAAATTAATTGTGAGAAATAACTTTACTTGAGTTGTAACATTCTTGTATTGAACAGTGCAACTAATCAGAAGCATTTTGAGGGAGATACAGATCACAAGAGAAAAGTTTACGATCCAGTGGGAAACAATCTTCGAGTACGTATATTTACTTCTCCGTTGTATTTACAAGTCTAGTTATTGAAATAAGTCTTATTTTTTAATTGAAATAAACTATATTTACCGCCAGGTTATTTCTTACTTCGTAGAAAATCAAGGGAATCTGTGACAGTGAAGGTAAACAACCACGTTATGCATATTACTACACGTCAGTTTATTACACTTCACTGTAATAAAGTTCAGTGTTTTCCTTGTCGATAAAAATGAAATGGACTTATTTAGTTTATGTTTAAGGGAAAATTTTGCTTCGAAAACAAAACACTGCAAACGAGTCATCAGATGAGGAATGGGTTCCTGGCAGAAGTTCAAAGAAATATAAATAAACTTATAATTTTCTTTTTATGTATTTTTATTGTTCTCTACTTTTTTCTGATTCTGATGAGTAAGAGAATGGTTTTCGAAATTAAGTAGAGTTTATAGTTTGTAAGGTTTATGTCATAAATTTTTTCACTTTACGTCATAAGTTTTATCATTACGTTATTAATAGAGAGAGCTTCATTACTTTTCACGAACTTGTGACATTTCTTATCACTATTGCTACTGAAATGGAAATATTCTGTCTTTGGCATTATTGAGCCTCACTTTAACGTTCACTCTCGGTATTTATATTTTGAAAGTTTTTCTTTTGAATTCAGTTCAGTTTATATTTATTCAACACACAGAAAAACGATGTAAATAATGTTCGAGCCATTAAATGAATGTTCGCCTATAAATTAATTGAAGGAATTTGATTGGTGATTGTAGTTTTTTTTTTTCTTTTCTTTTACACTCTTTCAGTTTTTTGCCGAATCACTGTTTTATTATTTAGTAAATGACAAATAGTAGTCAGTAAATGACAAATGCCTAGCCACGAACTGCGATCTGACCTAGAAGGTATTGAATAAGCTGATAGCTCGAGTTGTCACTGAAAGACTAATATTTTTCTCAGATGTACTGTTTCTCAGACTGTTTCTGTACTGTTTCTCAACTACAGTACATCTTCTCAGATGTACTGTAGTTGCATCTGGACTGACTGTTCTATAGCGCTCACTGTTCTGAGAATCCTGATTCTAGTAACAGTAGAATTTTATTTATCTTGTACGAAACTCATTCTTAACGTTTTATAAATCTTGGAGTGTTTTCTCGCTGAAGTCTTATTTCTTTCAAATTTCGCATTCTATCTTCAAATATAAATTCCCTTTTTTAAATAAGATTAAGAATGTCCAATATTTCATGTGATTTTTTCTTAAATGTATTACATTACATAAAACAAAGTTGTATTTTAATGTATTGTAGAATTTTTCAATTTACTTGAAAGTTAAAAAATTTTGCTCATCAAACATTCCATATTTTGCAGTATGAATGTTTCAGGGATAATTTATTTGTATTGAGCACTATATTTTATGCTGAAATTTTGTGAACTGTTTAAATAAACTTATTTTTCAAATATTTTAGTTTTTGCTTTCTATCATAATTGCACGCAACACATTAAATTGGGACATTTCAAACCTCTATCGATATTTAATCGAATATAATAAATATTAGTGATGGCTGATGATCATCTGATGTACTCTTCTCGATTTTGATTTGTTTTGGTTTATTTACATATTTCTGTTGTTAATATTCTTAACAAAAACTTTCTGAACAAAAAAAGATCCAATAAGGTTTGAAATGATTGAGGGGAAAAGGAAGTTACGAGTGATAAGAGTGCTTGATATGTACCAGTAATTTAAGTATAAAACTGGTCTTGATGGTGGGAGCATGTCATAAACAACCTTCTTAACCTGATATATTGACAGTTGTTGAAGGTCATGTTTTATTCAAATGATAAGAAAGAATGTAGACATGTGATGATAGTAGTAGTATTTTTTGCTGGCAGCAGTAGCAAAATTAGTAAAATGTAGTTGAATTTACTCATCAATTAATTTTTAAAATGAATGGAATTGGTTTTATTTTTGAATTTCTTACCCATCTATTTTCTGCATATAAATGATGAATATATGAATACTGTCATTTAAAGTAATCCTATCGAGAATGATATCATTTTAGGATCGAATAAATGTCTCTTTCATGCGACACTTTTTTTTTTGTTTGTTTGTTTACTAGACTTTATGAAGAAATTTAGAATTTCTTAAAATGAAAATAATTTATTCGAAAGTTTTAAATTTTCTCATACACAGTTTTAATGAACTATTTTTGAAACCAAAATTAACAATTACCAAAAATGCGCAAATTGATATTTCTTCATTTCAAATGAATCATTTTTATTGGTGCTTTTTTCTATTTCAAAAAAAAAAAACGATTAACTATTTGTCACATATACATGAATCAGCATTTTAATGCATCTCAATTAGGTATAGCGTTAGTTTTTTTTTCTTTTTTTTGAGTAATGATGCAGAAAATGTCACACTTATCCTAGAATATTTTGGAATTGAAATACAGTATCCATTTAATAGATTAGCTAAGCCAATTCTTTGTTATCTTTTCTGAACATTGATGGAAATGATAAAATGTGATGATAACAAATTGTAGTGATATTTGTTTCAGATTCAAAAAATTTACAAATGTTCATTTTGCTATTATTGCCAGTATTATTTTACACCATAAATGGATTTCGAACACAAAGTGCTGGTGTACGGGGAACTTTGATGTGCGGGGATTTACCTTTAGTAAATACAAAAGTGAAATTATGGGATGAAGATGGTTAGTTCATTGTTGAAAATATTAAAAATGAATATCATCTCAAAACCATTTGAATGAATGTTTAAGCCAGAAGTTTTTTAATCATTGAATATGAATTACTAAATTATGCAAATTATAGATAATAGATTATCAATTTCAATTATTCATTTGCAAATTTAAAAGTAACATTAAAAGATGAAAGAGAAGTTGCTTTTGTATTTTTCATCAATTAATCTTCAGGAGCGGATATAGATGATTTGTTACAAGAAGGGACAACAAATGCCCAGGGATATTTTGAACTAAGTGGTAGTACCAGTGAAATTACCACTATCGATCCCGTTCTTAAAATATATCATGATTGCGATGATGGAATAATGGAAGGCTAAATGAGTTTAAAAAAAACAAATCTTTCTGATCGTAGAATCTTTCATTTTGTTCCAAGAAGTCTTTGTTAATATAAATAATATTTCCAACTGATAACTAATCTTCCTTTAATACTAAGAGTTTGATGATAAGTGATAAAATCACATTTTAGTTTTGTAATACTAAGTTTGATTTTAATTTTAGTTGTACTAAGATAATATTAAATATTTTTAATTAATAATAATAAGGGATGATAAAATAATGATAAGTTATCATTTCAGCCTTGCCAACGAAAAGTAGCATTCGAGATACCATCTTCATATGTGAACAATGGTGAACGAGTGTTAAAATTTTTCGATATTGGTACTATCAATATGCAAATTATTTTCGAGAAAGAATCTCGAGATTGTATAAATCGTTGATAATTAATGATAAATTCATTCGTCTTTTGTTCTAAAATTACTTTAGTTGTTATTTAAAAGGTATTTTATTTCAAAATAAAAGGAAATAATTTACATTCATAAAGTACTACTGCTTTACTTTTATTGGTGAATTATAGCAATAAGCGGAAAATGTATCACATAAGACCCGAACACAACGATTCCCAAAAATTGCAATTGTTAATTTTACTAATTAATGGAGTGTATCCTCTCCAACTTCCATTATTTTCTACCTCATCGTATATATTATGAGGAAAAAAAATCAATCCAAAATAATGAAAGTTAGCATTTTAATCGTAATTATGCAAATTTTATGAAATCAAATTATTACTAAAGACTAAATAGATATTTGGCAATTTGGCAATTTTAGCACTTCAATGAATTCAGCGTATTTCCTAATAGGAAATGCTAAAACATCATATTTTCATTTAAGTATTTTCATCAATTACAAATGAGTTTTGAATTGTCCAACGGAATGATTTGATCATTTTCTATATTATTTCCATTTGAAAGATTCAAAGGATATGACCAAATGAAATAAGAATAGCGATAATAGAATCAAATGAGTGGGAGCAGTTGGATACAACGTTGAAAAAAGTCTAGACATGATACAGATTTCAAATTTCAATTAAATGATACAAGAATAGTGGACATGATGACAGGATATCCAATAAAATGAAAGACATGGGAGCAATAATAATATGGTAATTGTATTATTGATAATAATAGTAATAATAATAATAATAATAGTAATAATAATAATAATAATAATAATAATAATAATAATAATAATAATAATAATAATAATAATAATAATAATAATAATAATAATAATAATAATAATAATAATAATAATAATAATAATAATAATAATAATAATAATAATAATAATAATAATAATAATAATAATAATAATAATAATAATAATAATAATAATAATATAATAATAAT